TTATATTTTTGACCATCTGGCAATTTAGTGCACATAAGCTACCATAGCCTTCCTTTTAAGTTAATGTTATTAGTATTTACTAAAGAGTAAATACTAATTTACTCTTTTATAAATACATGAGGCTGATAACAAAAGTTATCTTTTTTTTTTAAGACTAAGTGAAACTCAACATCTGCTGCAAAGACCAAAAATTCCTTTTTATTGGATAAAAACAAAGGTGACCTAAAGATAGTATAAATTAGCATAATCTAGAAATGCTGATGCTTAAATAAGATGGTTGATTTCATTTTCTCCATCCTGCAATCATGTTCTTTGCCGATGGTCCCATAATTCTCCATCTGACACAGGCACTCATATGGAGGGAGAACTTCTGTCTGCCCACAGGACACTGAAACCCTTAGACTTTGCCATACTTTCTGTTTTCCTTGCTCTTTAAATACTGACTAGGTATATACACACTGACTCTGAAACCAGAATTTTGACTCACAGAGATCTGGCCTCGGTAGAGGTAACGAGTGTTCACTGAAAGTTACGCCCACTATCTGGGGCTGAATCAAGCTGTAATACCACTGGCACTGGGACAATTATGTAGGGAGTTTAAGTTTGCGTACATGGTGGTGGATGTGTAGGTGGCATTATCTGTGGTCTTCAGAGGCCTGGTTGTACTTTCACTGAATTTAGCTGAGGCTTTTTCTCTGATGTGGTGAGAGGGAAGATTTACCCCCTGTTTAGCAACAAGCTTAAATTCCCCGCTTTAACTTTTGGGTGAAAGCTCTGATTTTTTGCTGGTAAGTGTGTGTAATATCATGTGCGCTTAGTCCAGTTTCTTGATTCTAGAATGAAAGCTGTCATTATCACTATGATCTTTTTTAAAGAAAAAAATCTATAGAGGATTATTAGGAGCTTTCAAGTACAAGTGAATGGTCAAGAATAGGAAACAAAGGTAGCTAACCATGAAAATGGGTTATTTTGCGTGTAACTTTAAAAATTTGCAAGAGGGAAAATCCATACACCCTCTTCATGCAACTCATGCTAGAACAGTTTGCAATCTCACTTTCAGCTTTCATGTTGCTCACGTTTTGTGAATGCCTGAACAGAATTTTCAAGAGCAAGTATTCTCTATTTACTGCACAGCTGCCAAAGTGTGTTTTAGTACTGGTTTGTGGTTCAAATACCCATTTATAAACATCACTGACCATCTTTTGTTGTGAAATGTTGTGTATTAATATTGCCTTTAAAATTATTGGAAAATCTGTTTTCTGATGATAATCAGTCTCTTCTAAAGCACAAACTGTAGCATCTAATATGTAATTCATTTTAGTGGAGACAATTAGGTTGATTGCAAAATCCATCAGAATACACTAGCTCTAAAAATAAGAGTGTATGTGTCAGTCCATATTTAGCAAATTGAGGTTATTAATCAGACCCTGTTCCTTGCAAATCATTCATCCATATGTAAAGCTTTTTCCAGCACCCTTGTCAGGGAGTGGCAAGAGTGGACAGCTTCACAAAGGAAGGTAAGCAAGAACTGAGGGTGGCAACAGTACAGGCAGGAGCAGTGTCCTCACCAATAAAGTCTTAAGTGACCAGGAAGGTCCAAGGTCAAGCCAGGGCAGCACTGATAAGTGACAGGGCTGGTTAGAGGCTTATCTACAATCTAGCTCAAGCAGAGGCCTGGGGAAGTAGCTGGACTTAAGCACAGAGGCCCCCTGTGAAACCCTACATGGGCTGCTCAGGGCAATTAGAGCTCCTTGCTGTATTGAAAGCCCTGACCAGGACCTTGAGGGAGGTAGACAGAGAAATAAATATAGAAATAGAGTAGCTTTTAGTTGAAGAACTTTCTGCAGATTACACTTCCATATGAAGCTGTAAGAACACTGACAACTCATACAACAATGGGATTAGAAAAGCAGACATTGTCTTTCTGTGAAATGCTGAGGGCTCATGACTCTAGAAAGAAACAGGTCACTGACTGACATCCTTCCTAGATGCTCAAGGTCAGGCTACTGGACACATGCAGTTACTTCACACATGTTTTAGTGCAGAAAAGGAGTGGTACCTTTGAAAGATGGGAGCATCCATATTTCAGATCTCATTCCTCTAAAAGTCAGAAGAACAAAACCTTATTTCTCTGTTATGGCTGAGAATGAGTGATTTTCACATTCTTCTGTCTTTCCAATGTATTGGTGAATTTTGTTACAGACAAGCCAAAGAATATGATAACAAGAGTGTGAACTGGTGAACTCAAGTTCCAGAGCTGTTGCCAGCTTCTCATGTGACTACAAGTGGCTCCTAAACAGATCCTAAAACATGCACTTCTATAATAAGGATACAATTGTTAGCACACAGCAATGGCAGTAAATTGAGTCAAAGAATAGGAATGTCCTACAGCACTATTTTCTTCTATACTAGTGGATATGTCATGTTTCCCAGATAACCAAATTATTCTTGGGCATGTTCTGTCTTATCCCCCCTGGCACATAGAAGCAATTCTGACATAAAGATCCCAAGCCACAGATGTTGTAACCTTTAGACTCCTGAATGGGAGTGGATCTGGTTAGTCTGGAGAAAACTGTCTGAGAGATTAACATAGGGAGTTTTTGAGTTTTGGCTAAGATATACTTATAATTAAAAACACCCGTTCTTATATTTGCTATGGAGCTGGAGTAAAGGGTGTCTTCAGAAGAACCCTGCAGGAAAGATACTGCAGTACAGTCACACACTGGAGAAAAGGGTCTTCTTAGATATAGTACTAGATTAGTAATGTGACATATAATAAATATGACATGTAATAATTCCTCTTTCCTCCTCCTGGTGATCTGGCGATTGTTTTGCCAGTGCTGAGAACTCTGTAACCTGAAGATGCTTTTCTGTTAAAACCTATCCTGACGGAAAGATGGACAGTCAACCACCTCTGCAGTAACAGTTTTTGTTGGAGGTAGCAGGAGATGCTAATCCCAAAATACCCCCACAATGGGTACCCTCAAAAATGTGCTAAACTAACTAAAGGCAGCTATATAGGGATCATGAGAATGTGGTTTACGAGGACTTAATCAAGTGAAGAGAACAGGGAGTTTGTTTTCTTTCTCTTCAAGTGGTATTAGACTTGTTGGACTAGACAAAATTTTACCCCTGAAATTCTCAGAACTGTTAAAATACATAATGAAATTTGTATTTTATTGCTAATATTTTCAAGGGGTTTAGCATTTTTTTTTCTTGTTCAATGAAATAAATTATTTTGAAGGAAAAGAGAGGAAAATGCATCACTGTAAAAGGAGATAAGTAACAAAGACTATCTCTCTTGGTATTCTTACCGATGTACTTAATGTGGATGCAACCTAGGTACAAAGGTCCAGAATTCACCCTCTCACCTTTTTATGACATTTCAGCATGCATGCCAATGCACTTGTGTAAGTATACTGATATTAAAATGTATGGAAACTGAGGCTATAGAAACTATTTGACTCCCATACTTAGTGTGTGATCTGGATTTGTGTCTGTATTTGTAGATTTTGTAGACACAGAAATTGCTTTGGAAATAGAAGCGATATGTGATGTCAGGGAATAGAGAAAGAGGCCATGGCTTCTTATGGGAGTGGAAAGTGAAAAAGTAAGAAAGAAAATAGACCAAATAACAAACACAAAATGAAGAAAAAATAGACAAAAACTGCATTAAAATATAACTCCATTTTACATCAAGTAACACCTGTAACTGCAGCACTATTAAAAGTGCTTCTCATCAGTTCCACTGAAATAGCATCCACTGGAGTGAGTTTGCATGCATTTGCAGGTGACTTGTTAGAAATAAATGACTACCTTAAAAATCAAAGCTAAATATAAGATGAGCACTTCCTTTTTCCTAGTGATTGGAAGAGTTAGGCTTTTATGTGAGGCTCCTTTAGTGGACAAGCTGGCAGACAGGAAGCAGGAACATTCCTACCCACAATGAATAAACATGGGCTCTTTGCTGATGGTAGAAAGTACAGATAAGTGAAGCTTTTCTTACCTACACTGATCAAAAGATTCCTCCATCTCACACATGAGAAGGTGCTCTGAAGTAATGAAGTGGGTAAATATTGCACAATAAGGAATTATGCTGCACACATTGTCTTACTGGTGGCGGAAGCTGTACAATAGATAGAGTTGATGTGAACTATTTGTTGCTAAATAAAATCTATTGGAAATGCACCTCATTCAGGCGTAATGGAGTGTATAAAGAATTCAGGATCAAGCAACGTGATGCAAACCACTCTGCTGTTTATGTAGATTTGAGTTTCATTTTCGTCCTTGCATCCTTTTAGTATTTAGCTGTCAGTATTCCATCTTACTAGTTAAGATTCTCCTCTGTCTGAGTAAGGTGGAGGCAGAACAGCTCTGCTGAAGGATTTTGAATATAGATAATCAATGAAATAATATTTTCTCTAATTATATCTAATACATGATACAGTTTTTTCATTTTTTGGTCTCTCATTATTTTCAATTTTAAATATTGGTTATAGCAGACTAAACTGTATTAGTCTTGAATTTTATCTGGAATTAATTTTTAGCTAAAATATTCTTATGTTGAAATTTTATGATTTCTAAATATAAAGTAAAAATAAATAAAACCAGGTATGCATGTTCTTATAAACCTTTTTAACTAATATAGCAGCAGCTCCTGATACAACTCATGTATTATGAGGTATACATACACAATTTTTTCTTTAATGTGTTGGTTCCTTGGCCATTAAACAACCTCACCCCAAGTATCTCATGCATTTTGTATATGATGTCTGTTGCATAAAGCATATTTTATAATTATTTAATGAATCTCTGTATCTGCCCCATCATTTTAGTTACAATACTGGTAGCATTGATGTCATCTTTAAAGCTTTTTTAGAACAGACAGAGAAATTAAAACAAAAAAAGCTATCAGTAAAATAGAGATGAAGCCTCTAGATTTCTGGTCTGCTGTGTTTGTGAGATAGTAGCAAATTCTGTGTTATTTTATTCTGTTCCAGCTGTTTACCTCTGCAAGAGGACAATGCAAAACAAAGCAAGGCTAGAGCTTGCAGACTATGAAGCTGTAAGTACCTGTAGACAAGTAAATTTCTCTGCTGGGCCTAATGAGCATGTGAAAGAATGTTAAGCATGAGAACTATAAGCATTGTGTGTGAAAGTTATCCACTTTTACTAGCATGTGGGTCTGACAGTGCCCAGAATTCATAAATGCTGTTTGAGAGACTGTAGTGAAAGCTAGCTGGGCAAAAGTGGTACATCACTAGTGGTCCAGTGGAGTGGATTTTGGTCCATCTCTAATCCTACTCTGCTCAGATCATCAGAAATAACTGTTCACATATCCCAGATACACCACGAGTGTTTGAAAGCAATTGTACTCTACACCATGTAAGGTTTGAATGAAGGCTCTCTGGCAACATTTTCAAAAGCACTTGGTAGCTGTAGAAATATAAATCTCATTCTTAAAAGTGATACTGGCACTTAAGCCCTTGTCCCAGTAGTTGAGAGGCAAAGAGGGTCAGACGAGAGACACTTCTTACTCCATGAAAGTTGTGTTGTGCCCCAGGCATAGTAAAATAATTGGGGCCAGGAAGAGCCAGAAAAAGAAGGAGTTTGATTAGCTGATGACGATGGCTTTCATGAAGGAGAGAGATGTCTTGAATTCTGTCCATATCCCCCCAAAAGTTCCTGAATTTTTCATGAAAATGTCAACATAAAATTCATGAACAGCCCTGGCTCTGCTCTGAAAGCTGTCCAGCTGTGCTACTGTGACACGATAGCAGGATAGTCAGCCAGGCCTCTCAACATGCCAAATACTTCAGCCGCAGCACCATGCTGACACACTTTATTGCTTCTTCTGGCACAAGCTTGCTTTTCAGTGTACTGCACTGTGGGGTATGCATAATTTTATACTTACATGCCTTAGAAAATTCACCTCCAGTATACAATCCACAAGAGCCTTTACTGGTATTGACAAGATCTCTAGAAAGTCTCCTCTTCGTTCACTGTACTTTATTTTCATAAGTTTGTCATAGAGATATATTTGCAATGCATAAAAATACAGTTAAAACAACACGTTTTGTTAGGAAGTTTACAGACAATTTTTCACTTAGTCGTGGTAAAAACAGTGCATGAAGATAACTGGGTTCTTTTTGGAGGAAGACAAGAACCTCAACCTTCTCCATGTTAACAGACTGCACGCTGCTGCCATTTAAGCTGGAGGGAGATTGGAAAAGCTCTGTTACAGACAGTATAGCTGTTCCAGCATTACTGGAGGGAAGAATTTTGCTAAGATTTTACAAACCTTCTTCCTGTAGGCTGTAGGATATATACATTTCCTGTACCATAGTGAAGAACTATAATCTGCATTTTTTTAAAATGAGGATAGCTGTGGAGGTCTTGGAAGATTCCTATACTACCAAAATATTGATAGTTTCTTATTATTGTAATTTAAATAAGTTGATAGGCCATCAACATTGTTCAATGCAAACCTTTTTTATATGTGACTGATGTGAATTGTCATATGGATCATTCAGTATGGAAAGTACTACTGTTATTTTACAGTATTAGTACTTTCAAAACAAGAATGTTTCTTTGCATTATTACAAAATTACTCAGCCAGCACTCAGTATATAAAAATGCTTCAGAAATCCTGTGTTCTGCTGAAGGTTGCATCTACCCTTATAATCAGAGTTTCAAAACTAAAATAGTCAGGGCATTCAAAAGTAGATAGATCTAGTATGTCTATCATCCACCCATTTGGTGTCAAGCAAAGACTTTATATCAGATAAGTAAGGTACATTTACACTGGCACAGATATCATTACTGGTATTACATCTTGGTGAGGATGAGGGGAGGAGGGAGAGATAAGCTAAAAGCTATTAAATAGTAAATAACTTACAACCTAACCCACTAAAATTGTGATGTATTTTCAGGAGAGTTTGGCCAGGCTACAGCGAGCATTTGCTCGGAAATGGGAGTTTATTTTTATGCAAGCTGAAGCACAAGCAAAGTAAGTTCCTTTGAAGATGAGGAGTTTTGGTTTTGCATGCTTTTTGAAGGGAGAAGGGGAGAGAAAAATAATTGGACACTTGTTTTATTTAAAATTACTCTCATTAAGGCAGTTTTATTTAAATATCCTTTCACATTGACAGAGTGGATAAGAAGAGAGACAAGATAGAGAGGAAGATTCTTGACAGCCAGGAGCGAGCATTCTGGGATGTGCACCGGCCTGTGGTGAGTGCCTGTGGGGCTGCTCTGCCTGTGAGCAGAGCCATTCATAAATATCAGCCTCTGTGGAGCATTGGGGTAGCCTGGGAACAAGTAAAAGAGCTGTAGGGCTGCAGGTTGTCACCCGCCTCCCATTTTGCAGCATCTATAGTTTATATTATTCTACTATTGAAGGCTGCAGATGTGTGTACACTCAGTTTGGGGTTTTCAATGAATAGATTTGTTGTGTCTGATTTGTTGAATCAACCTGTCTTTGACTATTAACATCTCAAAGGTTTCCCAAGGTATGAGTCACACAACCAAAATTATCAGCATAGCTAAAAATACTTTTAAATAAATCTGACTTTTTTTTTTTTTAATCAGCTTTTTTGCTCACTAAGCCTTTCAACTTCACTCTGGTAATATTTCCAAGCTATTTTAATGTACATAAAGGTTAGATGTTGTTGGCTTTGTTGCTGTGAGAGTCATACACTGTCTAAACAAGATTTATCTGAGTTCCTTGTCAAAATCCATCTGAAATAAAATTTTAAAAAAAGAAAAGTTCTTACAAAAGACTTCCAATTACACTTTAAGAACTCGATAATCATACCTTTTGCTTTACTACAGAATTCTATCTGTTTCCTTTACCCAGAGTTAAAATTTCATTTTCTGTGTAAAGAGTTTGCTATCATTACCAAAGAAACCAAATATGGACTTCCATTGTGACATTAGGAAAAAGATGCTTGACTAAAACTAATTGTTCTGTGGAAGTAAAGTTAGGTGATGATACCTGCAGAAGAAGTGAATACAGTGAGAAAGTTTCAAATAAATAATAAACTTGGACATGGTCAGCTTGCATCTGTGACTGTGGAATTAAAAGAGTGGTAGAAGAACATCAGGTAGAGAAAATAATTTGAAGTGAAAGATTAAAACCACGGACATCAGACACAAGAAGACTAGGACATTATTTTCTAGTCATTGGAATAAAATAAGGAAGGAGGGCAGAAAACAATCTTCCATCTGATATTGATAGGAGCTACAAATAGAATAGACACAGAAACTTCCTATGTACTTCAGAACTTTGAAGTTGCTAAAAGCTTTTACATTAGCTGCAGAAATGGATCTAAGGGTTTTGAATCTGGGAATGAGATGCTATTTCCAGGTTTGGAAGAGAAGATGAATCGTTGAAGTTTCAAGTTAAGATATAGGCAGACAATAAGAGACAATAAAGAGACAACCAGGACAAGAGGAAATTGAATCTGATAAAGAGCTTTGGCAGAACTGTGTATAAATCTTCCTGGTCCAGCAGATGTTTTTAATCTGGCTGTAGACATAACTAGGAAATATCAGAGGCAAAAGACCGGCTTACAGTCAGCAATGTAGACTCCTGACTTTAGGAGATATAAATAGAAGAATGGAGAGGTTCACACTTTGTCTAACCAGCTCCTCTCGCAAGTTAGTGAAATACTAGTTTTGAAAACATTATTATAAATTTACTGTCACAGTAAAAGCCAGAAGCTTCTGTTAAAAATAATAAAAGATAAAAGAGGAACAGACTGAAAAGAGGAAGTTTATGCTAGAGCTAATTACAAATTCTAATGGCATTTCAAGCCCTTCCAAATGCCAACCAAAAACTTACAGAAATATTGCTGCAATTCTGAAGAGCTTATTTTGGAAAACTGGGTAATGTTTGGATAAGAATCTAGGTTTGATGCTTATTTTTATTTACAGTTTTTAATCTTTTGATAAAAATTCATAGGGGCAATGACAATGTTGTTAAAAATCCACACCAACTTAATTTGTTTTAACTGAAAATGAATTTTGAGAACCTTCTTTTTTTTTTTTTTTTTTTTTTTTAGGTGAGTAAATAAATATTTTTAGCGCTTTTTTTTGCAGATGTCCTGGTCCCTGGTTGTTTTATTTCTTACCTACTTGGCGACAGTGCTGGTACAGGACCTTTCCATATACAATATAATCTATGAATATTACATCTGCATTTGATTTCAAAAAAGAGATACTTTAAGGTGATGAAAGAGATAGAAGAAGGAAGCAAGCCCTCAGTCCAAAAGGACAGTGCAGCAGTGCACTACAGGAATGGGAGACGTAAAAACAATAGCCGTATAATTGTGAAACCAGGAGGGTGTAGCTGCAGAAACAGAGCATGATTTGGGTACCAGAAATGTCACTGTGACTGATAAGTTTGAAATAATGGAAATGAACCAAGGTTTGATGTGTAAAGAGCGTTCACCTCAAAAACCACCTCTATTTCATAGGTCCCAAGTCAGAGTCAATCCTCCAGGTGGTTACAGAGGCCCTAGAAGATTTATGCCATAGTCTGAGAGACAGTCAAATGCTTGAAAGTCAGCATGGCTGTTACTGGTGGCTGACTAGCTGGCTGACTAGTACCCACAGCTTTTTCCTAGGTTTTCACACTGATGCTTGGAGATGAACTGGAAAAGTGGGTTTGGAGAGGAGTTTTTTCAAATAGTCACTTTTTTCTCAATTTTCTTTTGAGAGACAGATTAGAGAACAGTTTTGATATATCACTGATCTGTTTCCATTACAATATTTATTTAATTGTAGTTTCACTGTGTATTTAATTCTTAATTTTGATGCGTATTTTAGTGTACACTTGGTCATTTCTGTAAACTCCAGTTGCTGCTTGTGTAGAAAGATCTTAGCTTTCAGCTAGAGAGAGCATGACTGAGCTTCAACTGTAGGTACTGCAGCCTGCAGAGACATTCCTGAACAACTTTTAATATTACTAGTTCAGATACCAATTGTAGAAAAAACATGGAAATGCATGTCAAGAAGAGCTGTATAAACTCCCTTGAAATCCTGAGCAGCAGACCTAGCATTAAGTCCATGCAATTATTTCTAAGGTATAGCCAGTACCTAACATAGGCCTGAGATTAATATTAGTCACATACAGTGACACATTTCTCTTTTTGATGTCAGAGTAAGCATATCTTAAAAGCCTTCCTTTTCTTTCCACCTGCCTGGAAAATATATAATTTTAATAATTTTGAAACTTCTATCCACAACAGACTGTGGCACTGAGTAAAAATTGTTTAGGAGGATTAGGGCCTTAGTCAAAAAGCAGTAACAAATCAAGCTAAATCAAGGAATTCAGTTCCTTCCAGGCAAAAGAAATTAAGAAGCTGTTCTTGTTTGAAAAGAAATGTCATGCTCCTGATTAAAATATTCATAAAAGAACTCATCGCTTTCCTGAATTGTGATCTCTGTTTAAAACCCATAATCTTACACTTGTTAAAAAGGGACAAACAGGTACTAAAACAGTAAATCTCCTGAAACATTCTCGAACCTGCACCAAATACAGTAGGAGCAGAGTAGCTTGCTGTGAAATTAACTCTTTTAGGTAGTGAGCAAGGACAGCTGATATCTTGTTATTACAAATGATTCACTTTGCTCCCTGAGTTACCCATTAATGTAATTTAAGTGAAATGCGTAAAAAATGCCTGTTGGGTACTTGTTGAGATTCAGATTAATTCAGAAGATAATGGAGGAAGTATCCTTCCCTCCTGAAAGTCATCTGTATACTTCTTAACTATAACAAATTGAAAAAAACTTTTTATTTTCTCCAAAATCAGAACCAATATTTGTGTGATTTAATACACTAAGACAAATTATCCAGTGTGGGTATGTCCGGTAAAAGCAGCAGCAGTGTTAAGGGCAAGTGTTGGTTTAAGATAATTCACTGATGATGTAAAATTCAGAAATAAGTATAATTTCTGTATTTGGGAGTTTCATGCCATTGTTTCCTAATAGCAAACTAGGAAAAAAAGTAATCTTTAAGTCTTTTAAACCTTGTCACACATGCCACACCTTTTGCTTCTCTATTTATTTTTTAAATGAGATTCTGTTTCCATTAGTCTCATTTTATCTGTTTATATTTTAAAATTGTATTTTAAGTAGTCTGAACATGATCCTCAGCATCTGAGCCAGTAGGTAATATTATCGGCTGTCTAGGGTCATGCAGCGGATACTTTTGGTTATTTGTTCTGGGTTTGCTTTGCTTTGCTTTGCTTTCATTGCTTTTGCTTTTTAATGACTTTTCCATCCTATCCTTTAAGATCAGCCTCAAAGACTCGGCAAAAGACTGAATTTAACTTGGCTAAGGTGGTGCAATCCTTCATTTCACACTTCATGTGCTACAAATCCTAGACTTTTCTGGGCCAGTCACTTGTTTAGCCAGAGAACACTTCTGTCTGCTTTATCATAATATTTTCAGAAATTTTTTTAAACATCTCCAGGAAATGAATGTGAATCATGCCATCCAACTTCTCTAGTGATGTATCTGAATACAATTTTCATGTCTTCTTTTGCACCTGTTTCATCGTATATCCTTACAAGGGAGTTACCTCTCCAGCAGACAGGGAATGCAGCCAAAGCAGCAACTGGCAGTCTCAGATAATTGCACTTCTGGTAATGAAACAAAGCTTTGTACAATATTTTATTTTCAGAAAACGGTTAAAATGCTTACAATCCATACTTCCATCTGTTTGAGGCAGATATTTATAGACCTTATATATATATAGCCTGCTAACTAAGACCTTTATGAAAGAATATGTACTCACATTATTTAGCATTGCTATTTAGTCTGATATTTCAGTAAGGGTGGGACATATGGGGAAAAAGAAGCCAGCTTTCTTGCAACAGTGCAACAAACTGAAAGTGCTCAAGATAAAACAGGATTATGAATTGGTCAGAAATCGTGAAATAGCTAACTCATGAAATGGTGGAAGGACACAGGAAAATGAGATTATGTTATGCATTTTAGTAAGACCCAGTACTGGTAGCAACAAGGAAAATAAGCTGAAGTAGTAAGGATAATGAATTTTTTTAAATGCAATGTTTATGCATTGATTTTTATTTCTATGTGAATTAAATTTGCTACTTTAATCCAAACCATTCTGTCAAGGATCTTCTTATAAGTCAAAAGGACGATAATCAATTTCTAAATGCCATCTATATTTACCATCAACATTTTCAGAGACATGTGGTCA